TATATATATATATATATATATATATATATATATATATATATATATATATATATATATATATATATATATATATACACACACACATATATATATATATACATACATACATATATCCAACTCGGCTCGGCAAGACTCAAGCCAAAACCTTGGGTAGAGCCTCGATTTTTTAGCTGAGCTTTTGCTCGGTTCGGCAAAAAAAAAGCCCGACTTAATTTTACTATTTCGAGCCCGAGCCTTGAATTTCTACTCGACTCATTGACACCCTCACATTTTCTTGTTCACGTAATAAATCTCATGGCATTTCAGTTATTTGATTGTTTCAGGGTTGTGGAGATCATTATCGTTATCGAATTCCCAAAAATTAAATTCCCATATGTAGCAAAGTTTTGTCCCCATACTCGGAGTTTTCCTTTTGCGTTCCATAAAGTGAGATTGAATTGAACAATTTTCAAAGTATCGACATTTTTCTTCATCACTAAGTAATTTCCAAGGACAAAGTGAAGAATAATGTTTATCAGAATGGTAAACGCCTTCGTGAAATTTAGTATCTATAGATACATGTATCAGCAAAGAACACCTCGAATGAGACTGAATTCTTGTTTCAAATTCTCTTACCAAGCCTCTTGAACTCTTAATTGTTATGCCATTTTTATGTGATTTTCTTGTCAAATTAGAGGCCTAAGATTTGTGGTGCCATTGTTATGTGTTTATTGAGTTGAACCTCTCACATCCTAATTGGTGTTACCATTAGTTTTAATAGGTTTGAACGAAAAAATGTCTGTCAATTGCCGACATCACCACCGATAAAGTTATTGTCGATTATAAAAGTCATGTTTCACTCAATAAATATGGGCTAAAAGGTGTGAAGGAAAAACAACTCCTATGTTGCAACAACTAAAGGACATATAGTGGTTTAATTCTCATTTGCTAAAAGATAATAATTTAGCTCATCGGCTTATGATTCAGCCAGAAAAAAGTTCGAGTTGACCCGGATCGAGATTCGGTAGAACCGAGCCCGAGCCAGTCCATGTGGCTCGTTAAAATAAAAGGCAGCTTGTGTGTGTGTGTGTGTGTAAAGCCGACTCGGCTCGACAAGGTTCGAGCGTAAACCTCGGATGGAACCTCGATTTTTTGGTTGAGCTTTTGCTCAGCTCGGTTCGACTAAAAACATCTCGACTTCATTTTACTTTTCCAAGCCTGAGCCTTGAGTTTCAGCTCAACTCAATGACATTCTCACATTTTCTTGTTCTCATGGCATTTCAATTATTCGATTGTTTCAGGGTTGTGGAGATAATTATCATTATCGAAATCCCAAAAAGTAATTCCCATATGTTGAAAAGTTTTGTCGCCATATTTGGAGTTTTCCTTAAGCGTTCCATAAAGTTAGACTGAATTTAAAATTTTTCAAAGCATAGACATTTTTCTTCATCACTAAGTAACTTCCAAGGACAAAGTGAAGAATAATTCTTATCAGAATGTTAAACACCTTCGAGAAATTTAGTGTCCATAGATACATGTATCGGCAAAGAACACCTCGAATGAGGCTAGTGTAACGACCCAGACCTCTCGCTCAAGCCGTTAGATTACGTACTGTCTGCTTTGAATGGGTCTTGCGCCCACTTACCCCTCACGGCTTTCTGTCGCGTCCCCCAAGATTCGAACTCATAACCTTCCCCTTAAATAAGACTTAAGTTGAATGTTGGTACCAACGGCGGTAAGCATTTAACGAATGTTTGGTACACAGTAGTAGATAGAATTGAATGCTATAATTGAATAGATTTTAACTTAATTCGAAAGTAGATCGAATCAGATTAATCCTTTTCAACAGTTCTTGAATTTCTTCAATTTTCTCAAGATTTTTTTATTTGTAATTGTTTGTTACATGGTCTTTATGCAGGTTCAAAGAAGTATAAAGGATCAGTCTATTCTTGTAGCAACTTATGAAGGAGAGCACAACCATCCTCCCCCCTTGAAACCCGAGCAAGCTTCTAGCTCCAGCCGGGTGGTAACACTTAGCACGGTCCCTTGCTCGATGACCTCTCTAAACTCGTCTGCGCAGACCATTACACTTGATCTTACAAAACCAAAGCCAGCTACTGATTCAATCCGAAAAATGGGTACACAATTCCAACAGTATCTGGTGGAACAAATGGCTTCCACCTTAACACAAGATCTCAATTTCAAATCAGCACTTGCAGCTGCCATTTCAGGACAGGTTCTTCAACAAAATAGCCAGGCAGAAAATTTGTAGAATATCGAAGTATTTTGTTGTATATTATGACTATGCTGAAACTCGAACAGTATTTTAGTACACAGCTCTGGATAAAACTAGATAATTATAGAAAAATTTTAAGTTCTGTTTTGTTTTCTTCATGGTTTAGTATTGTTACAATCCACATTATCAAATGATCTAAAAGTAAACCATGTTATGCGAATTTTCTAAACAGTTTGGAATATAAAGATTGATCTTCCTTCTTTAACTAGAAACAACTAAATTCCAATACTCTGGCCAGGATCAATCGTGGGACGAATATCGATATTGGATATATCACAGCAAAACTTTACGCTATTCCATCCAATTAGTACGTGGAAAAATCATATTGTGGGCGGTTACATTCTATTCCACGCATGTTGCAACAACTAAAGGACATACAGTGGTGGTAGTCGTTAGATCAACTAAGAAAAAATTGAACATCTCTCTCTCTCTCTCTCTCTCTCTTAATTCTTATTAAATATGTGTGATTGAGTAGTAATATTAAGAGACGATTGTGTAAATTGTAGTGCTTGAAACTATAGTGGTTCAATCAAGATTGATTTACAATAGAGAACAACAAATGCGGTTTGTTGTGTGTTCAAAAGGTTGTAGGGTCGTATATTGGCTTCATTTAAAAATTGTGCGAAGCATTAATCTACACCAATGTTCCAATGACCAAGAAATGGAGAATTCCATGCTTCAACTAGGGCTGTCAATGAATTGGATTTTAATCTGAATCCGATGAAATTAATGGGAGATTGATTTAGAGTTTCAATCCGATAACCTAATCCAGATCCGAATTCGATAATCCATTAACTAAATGAAACAAATATGGATATAGGTCAATCCGATCGGATAACAACCCTATCCAATTTATTATAATAATATATTATATTTTTTATATTGTCGCGACACTGCTTTTTTCATTTTGAAAATTGTATGATACTTTACACGTAATTTTTAAATAATAAATAGTATAATATTTATAATTGAAAATTTTGAAGAGATTTAATTTTTTATTAATTAAAATAAGATAAAATTAATAATTAATTTATTGATTCGATTTACTATAGCAATGTTTTTTAACACAAAAAACTAACAATTAATATGTCCAAAAAAGTTACTTTGTTCAAATTGATATTATTTATAATTAAAATCTTATTGATGCTATGATTTTTTATGAAAATAATAAAATAAGCTAGTAAATACTTAGAATTAACAAATGATTATGATTAGTATCCCACATTGAAATATCACTAAACCATTGGAAGAAGAGAATCCCTTAAAAAGCTAGTATCCCATATTGGAATATCACTAAAATATTTCAAAAGAAGTCTCTTTTAAAAAAGAGTTAAAAGGAGCATCACATCGATAAAAAATAAAAATAAATAAAAAATAAAATAAAAATTGGGCATTCTAATATAATAAGTGAGCCCATCAAAATAATTCAAATATTTTTTAAATAAATAATTAATTAAAATCTTGTTGAACTATGATTTTTAATGAAAAAATAAACAAAAATTTTATTTTTCTAATTTTTTCAATTTCGGATCAGGTTATCGGACATAGCTAATCGAATTTTAATTTAACATTCAAATATTCATCGGATTATTGGGTCGGATCGAATTTTAGCAGATTCGATCCATATCCGATCGATTGACAGTCCTAACTCCAACTCTTTGGGGGCGAACATATCTATGCGGCGTGCTCTCAATTTTGCTTCTTTTATTTTTTTTCCTGTTTTGTTTTGGATTCTTGGTAATTAGTTGTTGGGCTTTAGGAAAATATCATTAAATGAATAATAACCGACAGAAGTGTATCAATGATCATCAACAGTATCACTATTAATAATTTGCCTATATCGTCCACTTATATTAATTTCCATCATATCTACCGTTGGTTATTCACTGAAGAAATTTTCATTAGTGATAATTTGCTTTACTAATTTTTAATTATTATTCTTGAAAAACCCTTTTCAATAATTGTATCCAAGGCCAACCAATTGTTGATCCCTTTTCAATTATTGTATCCAAGGCCAACCAATTGTTGATTGCCTCTGAGAGATTCACGTCACCCACTATGTATCAATTTTGACCAATTTAATTGAAGAACTGTATACAGAAAAAAATAATAATAAATAACAATAATAAAATAAAATGAAAGTCATTTTCAATAAAGTTATTATATTATAGTAAGAACGTCTTTTAAAATAACATTTGGAAAGTAAATTTATTTCTTAGTCCGGGCTTACATACCCATCTTCATCCATTCAACATGAAGCTCGATTCCAAACCATATTGGGTTGTTTCATCCCTGACAATCGAACCCTTTTGAGATCATCATTTGTTATATCCCTAAAAATCGAGCTCAACACTAAAGTAGGGATGTCAATTCAAATCGTAAAACTTGAAAATCGTGGTTAACCGAATCGAATGAGTCGAAAAAAATCGAACCGATGGTGCAATGAGGCAGATATGGTATTCAATTTTAGTGATCCGGTTCGAGATGGGGTAGGTATAGTATTTGCACCATCACCCCGCCCCGAACTGATTACCCGTTAAAAAAAATAAAATTGGAAACAACATTTTCCATTATTCTTTCTATTATAATTTGTCTAGCCCAAAATTTATGGCCCATTACCGACCCATTAAGTAATCTAACCCAATTACCGTTTACCCACTAAGTACTAACCCTACCACAAAGAAAATTGAAATCAAATTCAACAAGACATTAACCGACAACCGTCTTCACTCAAGTCTTTGTAGTGCGTCTGCAAAAAAATTTTCTTCTCCACACCGTATTCTTTCTTACTCACCATCACCATCCTCAAATAAGGGAGGTAGTTTTCTTCCTCTTCTTATTTGCAAGACTCGATGAAACTCCACATATCTAATTATTCATACTGCTTTACTTCACAATGAACTTTTTTCCTCGTTTAAGGCAAAGGGAGCCTCAATACAGAAGTGTACCCAATGAGAGTAATTGAAACTTGGCTACAGAGATTTCTGATAAGTTGGAGATATTTTATAACGCGATTGAATTATTTTCAAATACAAAATATCCTACTGCAAATCTGTACTTTCCAAATATTTGTGACATAAAGTTGGCAATCCGTGATTTTGTATTTGAGAATCGGGATGTTGTTTGCATTTTCATTTAGGAAGTTGTTTGCCATATTGCTTAGTATTATATTTGTTTTTATTGACTTTTTTTCATGACTTTTTTTTTTTATTTTGGCGTCTGACCTATAAAAAATAATTTATTTTCGTGGTTATTAACAAGCTGAACCAACTTGTGTGATTATGGTGTTGTTATGATATAGCGCAAAAATTAGTGATTCAATAATAGTTCAATGATAGTATTAGCAGAACTGATCTCGAACCGAACCATTTCCTACCCTACACTAAAGTGTGCCTATATTCTTGCTTAATTTTCAAGTTTTTATTTCTAGCCTCTTCCAAAATACATCAGGAAAATAATTATAGAAAAAGAAAATAATAATAAGCATAGAATGTCGTTTTAATCCCATACTATCATATAGAAAAAAATAAAAATAATAACAACTCAACCTATTTTAAATTTTAGGAATATAAATTATATAGAAACATTGTCGAATAACATCCAAGAATTCCTGGCCATTTCGAGTTAGGAGCAAAATAAAATAAGCCACTACAAACGAGAATAATCAAATATAATATTTTTCTCTTTTAAGGGGAGAAACATAGAGAAAAGGCTGGCCAAAAACAATGCCTCCCATAAGTATAAACATCTGCTGATTGCAAATTATGTACCAGTAATTTCTCTATCCATTTTCATTCTTTTTGCACTTTGAACCTCCGGATTATTTGTAACTCTCTGCTGAGATGATGTATCATGCAGAAATGTACAGTTTACTCCATTCCTGCAACCCCTTGGGCTATTGAAAAACATGCAAGGCTTCATTATCTTTGATTTCGAGTCTTTTGACTTCATAGTATTTTTAGGTTCTTGAGTTGTCTGACTACCAAAATGGGGCAAAATTTCTTGTCTTTCTCCACCATGTTGCTGAATCAGACTCTTGTAATAGTTTATGTCCTTTGTTATAGGAGTTCCCAGGGAGGAAGATGGTGCGGCTGAAGAAACATCAGCTACAGACGACAGGAGACCAGGAACAGGTCCCATCATACTTGAAGAATGATAGAAAGGTCTGCTTGGTGAAGCTGTAGATGGTGAAAGATGTTCCAGTCGGGTAACATAAGCAGAAGGCGTATCTCCATTATTGATGACTGGAGGTGGATCACATAAACTCTTGGCTGGAGACCTCAAGTCGAGCATATTTGGCAGGCTGGGGGAAGGCATGTTATGCAAGCTGACTGGTGGCATACTTTGTGTACTTGATGGTGATATATATTGGGGACCAACAGCTCGTGAATTCTGCAAACCGGAGGAGGGCATATTCTGCATGCAGGATGGCAGATTCTGCGTGCTGGATGCTGCCCCATGACTTGTGACGAGTTGCTTGATCATTTTTGGGTCACTGAGAAGTTTTATCAGCAAGTTATGATCAATAAAATCCTTTTGATCGCTGCTTGACATAACTGCAGTCAAGGCAGCTTGAGCAGCCGCTACAATATCAGGATCAACAGCTGCTGCTGAGAATCCGGGACGAGGATTGGTATCGGCATTGCCCTGATGTGAGGAAGTTCCCGGGGCCAATAGCTGGGTCTGTGAGACTATTGAAACAGGATTTTCTGCAATGGAATCAACGGACGATGCATCTAGTGCTACATCCTCATCTTCAATCGGAGTTATTGGAATCCGAGGGGTGTGTTCATCATATGGAAATGAGTTTTCCTCACCCACTGGTAAAGATGGGCTGCACGAGGATAAAATTGTCTTACTAAAAATGAAAACGTCACAAAAGTAAAGGGCATAGCCTAACCACTATATAAAAATAAAGGGAAAGAAATAAAACAAAATGGAAACTTATAAAAAGAGAGGCAAGAATTGCACTTTGGTGGGATAGAAGAAGAACGTGGATAAATAGCTTCAAGCACTCTCATCTCCCGTTGGTCTTGAGTTTCCATTTCTTTGCTTTCTTCCCCAGCAACCACTTGCCAAGCACCATCTAGTACAAACTGCAAAAAAGTAGGTAGAAGAACGTACAGAAGTATTGTAAGACCTGCTGCTTGAACCCGCATACAATGCGCTATAATTCTGCAAGGTGGATTTATTAACCTATCCTACCCCTATTTTTTTTTTGAAATGAAAGAATTCTACTAGGGCCCTCTCCTCCTTTAAGAAATATAAAAAGAGTGGTTCAATTAGGAAATAAATATTCCAGATGAGGAGGAAAAAGCAGAATCTCTAATTGTGGACGCTCTGTTTGAAATTAAAGGGTGTAAATTGGTAAAAAGGTAAAAGTTTTGAGCATCTTATCCTGAAAGTGAGTACCCAACTTATTCTCACTGTTTAGATAAACATAAAATAGTTTTCCACTATAGAAGATTTGTGAACATGACAAATGAACTTACTCTGGGAGGGCATCTCCATTTGATAAGAGGTATTTGGGACAACTTATTTCTCCAAAGATTTGATGTCTCGATTCCTTCAAAGCCTGGAGGCAAATTGTCATCAGATCCCGTACCACCTGAGTGGACTGACCATAATGTCTTCGCCTGCAGATGGTCTTGAGATCCCACCAATCCAACTTGTGAAGGAGATTCATCCGACAAAAACAACCTCACCTATTAAATGGAATGTATCAGTCCATTAACTAGTAATATAACCCCTGTTTGGTGAGATTTTTTAAGAACAAATTTTGTGAAACGTGATTTTTTTTTTTGGAGAATGTGGTTAAAAATTATAAAAAAAAAGTCATGGGTCTAGTTGTTGGGAGAATGCGTGATTGAAAATGAGTTTGGAGAAAAATGAATTTTAGAAAATGGTGGCCAAACAGGGGCATGAGCTTCATATACAATTAGGTACCTCGTGTTAGTAAACCTACTAATATTAATGTCTATAATCAAGATAATTCTTTTCCCACAAACAGTGAATCATAAAATGTTTTATTGTGGTTATGTATAACACTTGCACTAAGCATGTAAAGTAGCACAGGGAAAAAATAAATGAAAGAACCTTACACCTGTCAGCATATCTAAAACAAACCACTAATCAAAAAAGCAAAATCACCTGGTAGAATTCATACAGATTCACTGATTATTCATATAAGACATACTGAAAAAATCAGTAACCAGTGGTCTCCAGCTTATCCAAAATCCCAAAAACTAACATCTTTGAGATCGAGCAATAAAGTCTCCATGGAAACAAGAGAACCAACAGAATTTAAAGATGAAGCATATAAACAACATAGCAATCATATCATTCATCTTAATCTTTAAGACAAAAAATAAAATAAAATAAAATAATAAGGGTATAGAAACCTAATTCCCTATAGTTTCAGAGCCAGCTATGTAAAGTCTTGTCTCCACGATTCAGTCCATGACAACATCTACAGGAAGATCCAATGCAATCAAATCCATAGCATCCACTGTAGGAAATTCTCTATACCGCCACCTATGTTTTGACAACTAGGTCCAATCCCAAATAAAGGAGTGTCCTTGTCGCTTGAAAGCCAACTTAAAACATTGCCACACCCTAAGACATTAATCCTTCTATTCATCCCAGTGAGTTAAGAAAAAGAAGATAAATCTCCCATGCACAACAAAATAAAAAATTTGCAATAAATAGGAAAAAATATAGAGAGCTAATGAACTTCAGCATCTTTAAAACCATATATCATATAAACCTATTCATGCAACTTTTTAATCCTGCAAGTCAATGGTATAGTCGCCAAACTAAAAAGACTCTTATATTTCCTCCTTTTACATCTGAAGAGCCCTCTGTTTATCATTTTCTTAGCATAATCTTGCATCATTAATTCTGCTAAATCATGCATTTCTCGCGCTTCTCAACTATGGAAAGTTTCACATGATTATGAACTTCTACACAAAGTTTTATAAACTACAGATGCGGAAATTAAAATTAGAAAAAGAAGAAGAAGAAATAAACTTTTCTTGGTACTTAAAAGCAGTCCATTTTCTTGTACCTCGAACTTTCAAAGCACCCATCCAAAATTATTTGATGATCAACTTATTTCTATCTCTGCTAATCATTGTCGTAAATTGAATTTGATATATTCATGCATTGACGTCATGCATAAGAATATGGTCTAAACTCAAAACTTGTCATGCCAACCTCCACTTTACAGTCATTAACAATTGAAACACATTCAGTCATGTTAATGAACATTTTGAAAAGGCTAAATGAACTACTCTGAACTTACATGAAGTACACTCGTTATTTGTTTATCTTTTTCGCCTTTCCTGGTCAGTAAACCTATATGTCAGTTATGATTACATCATCAAGCAGTTTTTTAGTCGGCATTACAAATGTGTCAAGCAACAGCAAGACCCTTTCAATTTCATAGTCCATGTTAAGTAAAAAAAAATTCCATTTAATTTCATAATGGCAAAACAAAGATCGTAGATACATTTCATCTTCCGGTTAAAGTTAGAAAATGGTATTTAAACTAGCCGTAGTTAAATTGCTCTCACATAAAATTTTATATTTTCCATTTATTAGATGTTAATACTGAAGAAGGACAGAAACTACAAAAGACCAAGAAGAAATTAAGAATTTTTAAAAGATTTACCTAGCAAAGACCAACATCAGAAGCCCAAGTAATCCTTGATTTCTGAAATACTCCAATATTTAAAAATATAAGTTATTCGTGTATGAATATAACTTAAAATTCAATCGCTTTTAGCAATCGAAGTCGCCAGCTCCCTATAACGGAAACCTTTGTTGAACGCAATCTTTGTCCTATTTTAATCAGTCAGTTAACCACATCCTGATTACACGTGCAATAAAGAGTATTGACATAGAGAGAAAGGAGAGAGATCCAAAGAAAATCCTGGAAAGAAACCCTAGATCCTTTGTGCCTTTGCATTTTGCCTCTTCATCATTTAGGGAATTCCTCATTTTCACTCCCTTTTATATAGCAGTATTTTCAATAATGCTCATGCATTTTCATTCACGGTTCAAAGTGCTTTGCATACATAGGTCTCGTTTTCTATTTTTGTTCCTTAATTGTGTTCAAAAAGTCACTGAAAGTTTCAATATTATATTCTTCTAAAGTAGAAACAAAAATCACATGTTCATCATGAAATGTATTAGTCCATTATGTATTAATATAACCTAATATAATTAGGTAAATCATGTAAGTTAATCTACAGACAATACTCTATAGCCAAGGTAACAATTTTAATATGCTTGATTGTGGATATGTATTCTATAGTTGTGGAACAATAAGAAGAAATATATGAAATTACTAGGGATATCACACTATCACATAAATAGCACTCTTACAATAAGCATGTAAAGTAACACGGAAAAGACTAATTGAAAGAACTTTAATCTAGCATATCTAAAAGAAACCACTAATCAAAAAGAAATTCATAACTTAGAGATATTTTTATTGTCTTTTGCACTTAAGTAAGTTCAAGTACACCTCTCTAGCATACTTACAACCTATTGAAAAACTCGAACAGATCTAACATACTTACAACCTATAGAAAAACTCAAACAGATTAACTGACTAGCCTTAAAAGCATCCCATTGCAATCAGATTACCAATTGCATCTTCGAGATTAAGCAATAATCTCTCCACGAGAACAGGATAATAAACATAAACAAACAATGAAGCATATAAATAACATAGTAACCATCTCAATCTAAAAGGTATAAACCTATTCCGAATAAATACGGGGTTCACTATGTAAATCATTTTTCTCCACTTGGTTTAATTCATAGCTACATGTACCTGAAGATCCAGTGGAATCAAATCCTTCGAAACCATAACAGATCATGTTTATTTATTTTAGTCTACTATCCTGTTACTGAGATCCAATGCAATCAAATCCTTTGCAACCACAACTGGAAATTCTACAATACTACCACCTACATTTTGACAACTAGTTCCAAGCCCGAAACAGGAGAGTTGCTGCTGGTAGAAGGCCAACTTTAAACTTATGACATGAGTCCAACTATCATCCCAATCCTTAAATGGAAAAAATAAAAAGGAAAAATAAATATCCAAGTGCAAAAAATAATTGCAATAAATAGAAATAACAGAAACACAAAAGAACTTTAGCCCATGTTTGGCCTTATTTTATCCAACATGCATTTTTCTCTCACCTCTTTATAATCACAGATTCTCCAATAAAAAAAATATTACACATAAACCCAAAATTTTTCCTTCTTTTTTAACCACACATTCTTCCAAAAAAAAAATCATTATTCCAAAATACATTTTCTCCCAATAAAAAAAAAAAAAAAAAAAAAAAAAAACACATTAAAATGGAGCCCAAACAAGGGCTTAGTATCTTAAAGACTAGAGACCATGTAAACCTATTCATGTAACTCTTTGATCCTGCAAGTCAATGGTATTGTTTGAACATAGTCAAACTAAAGAATTCTTTTCGTTTTCTTAACTCCGCACAGCCCTCTGTTTTTGTTCCATTTGATAGTGTAATCTTGAATTGAAAAGAAGCCACAAACTTTATGAAGTTCCTATTAAGTTTATTCTCAATCCATCAGCGTAAATCAGGAATTATCACAAACCCAATGACTAAATCATCAGCTAAATTGACAAATTGTATAGCACTTAATACTGTCAAATCAAGTATTTCTCATGCTTTTCAACTAAGAGTTGTCAATATACTTCTGCATAAAGTTCTATAAAATTAGAGATTCAGCAAGAATGTATATAAAGAAAAATACATTTCTTGATGCTTAAAATTAGTCCATTTGTACATATGTCAAACTTCCGAAGTACCCATTCAAAATAATTTGGAGATTCACTGAGTTCTGTCTGTGTTGCTCATTATTCTAATTCGAATTTGATTTAATCGTGCAATTAATATTCAGCATTTTATTTAACAACTAAATGAACCGATCTTAACTTCCAGAAAAATAGAAAATACAATCATTATTCATTTATCTTTCTGGCTTTTTTTTTCCCGTCAGCAATCTTCATGTAAAGAACGATTATTTCAACGATCAATTTTCAAGTCAGTGTTACAAATGTGTCAAGAAACAGAAATTCCCTTTTCAATTTCATACCATCAGAAATAAACAATTTCCCATTTTAGTTTCATCTTCCAGCTAAAAGTTTAAAAAGTTTAATTTAACTGGCAGTCATTAAATTGTCTCCTATATTTTTTTTTTTATAATTTTCATATATTAGAAAATTAATACTGCAAATCGACAGGAACCATTGAAGACCAAGAAGATTTAAGAATTTTTTACAAGATTTACCTGACAAAGATTAACATCAGAAGCCCAAGTAATCCTTTTTGATTTCTGCGATCCTCCCATATTTATATATACAAGTTATTTGATTCGATTCTCAAATGTATTAATACAACAAACTTCAATTGCTTTTCGCAATCGAATACCAGAAACCCCTAAAAACCTTAATGAATTTTCAGTTTTTGTTGATCGTTCTATCCATCCAGATTACGCATATAATAGAGTGTATGGATATAAAGAGAGAGAAAATAGAGATCAAGAAAACCCCTTGAAAGAAACCCTAGATCTTCTGAACTTCTCCATTTCTCTTTTTCTACAGTTTCTTATTTTCCACTGCCTTAAATGTAGTGCACGTGGCGCTTTGTGCACTCTTGTCACGTGATCTGTTTGCCCTTCTAAATAGGAGTGACAACGGCCCGATCCAACTCGTGAGAGCTCGGCTCGTTATACTTTGAATTCGTGGGTTGAGTCGAATTGAGCTTAGCCCTTTAAAATAAAATTCTATAATTTTCATTCTAATTTTTAATCATATATCCATATAATAAAATATTTTGTACATAAATTGAATTTTTTCTCACTTTTTAATCATATATTTTTCTAAAAATACTGTTCAAAATATCGTTTGTAAAAAATAATGACTATTGAACAAGGACTAAATTATACAAGTACGTGGACTTCACCAACTGTTCATATTCCAAATTAATCATATTTTTTTTCTTTTATATTTGGAATTTAACATTTTCTGTCATGCAAGTTCCCCTACATATAAGGAGGTGTAATGCATTATGCATATCACATGTGTACATGTAATATCACCATTTTTTAAATATGCTTAAAAAAATCAGAAAGTTCAAGAGCCAGTTAGCTCGACTGGTCAAGGCAAGTGAACAAGTCGAACCAAGTCGAGGTGGATGGATGGCCCAAAGGCTAGATCAACTTGAATCATCGTCATCCCTATTTTTAACTATATTTTTTCAATTTTGTGCAGATGATATTTAAGAGCCTGTTTGAGCCACATTATAATGAGAATGAGAATGAAAAATAGAGCCGTTATGGGCCCCACACCAGAGATAGAAATTCAAAAATGGTGGTTTGATGTGATGGATAACGGTCATATTTTTCATTTTAAAAAGGTAAAAATGTGGCTCAAACAAGAGCTAATTATATTTTGTGCTTAAAGAAATAGAATAATTTCGATTCAGAAAGGAACCCCCTTTGGTGAAGGGAGTAAACGATTATATAGGAATCCAAAAATAAAGAGAGAAACAAAAAAAATATCACTACGGTATAAACAAATGTCATTATTCTTATTTGTGCAATTGTAGATTTCAAATGTCACAAAATTTCTTTGAGCTTCAAGTGTGTCGACGGGCCAATGAAATGCTTAGGTGTAAATATTCATTTTAGTAATCGTTGCTCGCAAACTTATAATAATATCTAATTGAACAAAACCAATTATGCAAAGATATATTCTGTCATAAATATTTCACAATTAATTCATAATTTAGTTTGAAGTGATTTAAAAATATGATATTTGATTTTTGTACAATTTTTATGCTAAATGAATGAAGCTTGAAACAAAATATAAAGAAAAGATATAGCAACTTATGACTAGTGAGGGTCTTTTCTAACAACAGAAAAAGAACTATAAACTCTATAAATGCACAATAATATACAGATGTGTCCAAGAGCGGAGCCAGAAGATGCTGTTAGGATGGGCTAAAATTTAAAAAAATTTGAATTAACTTACGCCACAAAAAATCGAGTTTCGAAGGCTATTCTTGTGACATTCACGATAAAAACTATATGACACTCAATAAAAAAAAAATAGATGTTTTATATTAAGATATTCTCCTAAATCTTTGTATTTTTTTTACTAAATAGAAAATCGACGCTTACCTTAAAAAAATGAACTGACTGAATCACGATAGAAATAAGCAAAAATACATATCAATGAATGAAAATCTAAAAAAATTACTTAATGAGTACTCTTCTAATAATTTTGACAGCCAATTTTTCTAAATTGAAAACTTGATCGAAACACGCAATCAATTATATATCACTATAATCCATATGTTACTGTCTCAAAATGTTATTTAGTATGTTCATCGATCTTTTAGTAAGTGAAGAATCTCAACCAAAGTGAAAAAAAATAAAAATAAAAAATCAACTAAGAATGTCGAGGGTCAAAGAAATTAAATTTAATTCATGTTCATTTTTTGCTCAGTTTCTAGTTTATACTCATATATAGATTACTTTATAAAAAATAAATAAGTATTAACAAATATTCGTTTTTATTGTCAATATTAAATTTATAGTAAAATATCTATTTTATGGTCAAAATAAGTAATTTTTTTATAAGTATGAATACATTATCAATGAAAACATATGTAGAAATTAAAAAAAAATTAATTACTTTTAAATTTAAAAAATATGTAGTGTCTCTAACTATTAAAATAAACAATTTACTTTAGCAAAGTTCCTTCCTTCAAGGCCTATTACTTTATAAAAAATATACTAATCTCTTTACGAATAATGTCGTAATTTGGATTTGAATTAGCATACCAAACAAAATATCTATGAAACAAGTTATTCAATAATTAGTTTAAATCTAAACTAGTCTTTGAATATAAATTAATGTAGCGTTATCAACTTAGATTTTGATGAATTTAAAAAGAAAAATTATAGATTATAATGAATTTCATGAATTTGAATAGATTTCCACGTAATTTATAAGAATATCATTAAAAACAGTGAAAATTTCAAAAGAGTTTGTTATGTATATGTTTAAACTTAAAATACATCCAAATTTTTTGAAATTCCTTTATTAATAAAGTTTTTATAAGATACCTAAATTTTCTTTAAAATTAATTAAAATATAAGTAGGGATACCTCTCAATTGGAGACACCTAAATTTAGTAAAGCTAACCATAATGAATCCGAATTTTTGAATATTTAGTAAATGGAACCGTTTGATTCAAATTTAATAATGGAACCCTTCAGGTTCGATTCCTGAGTTTCATATAATAATTAAATTTTTGAATATTTAAAACAACGCTATACTAATTCAAATAATGATATGTTCAATCTTAACTCTTACAAAACAATATAGTTCAATCTTATGTATCTTTTGCACCTCTCTTTATTAAATTTTTTATAGATTTGATTGTTAAAATCACGAAAAGAAAAAGACAATGAGTTCACAATAATGAAGAGAGGCGTTGTTAGGCTTCTAATTCGATTTCTCCAAAACTGTAGAAACAAAATATTTTAGCTTATTTACGGTAAATAAATTTAAAAAATAGGGAGATTCGATTTTTATTCAATTTTTTTAGTTCTTGGTCTATAACCGAAAACTGAACTAAACCCATCAGTTTTCGATTCAAATACTCATTCGGGTATTTAACTTAAAAAGAATAGCTCGATTCAGTTCGATTAGGTTCAATCCGAGTCCATCCTATTCATTCGAAAGTTTTGTCCAACTCTATATTTATAACTTGGTTTATAGAATTTTAAGCTGGCAACATTTGTCTTTAACGGTTTAACTTTGTTTTTTTTTTTTTTTTTTTATCCAAAATGATGTGAAATCTTTCAGCTTAGCATTCTGTAAATCATTTGGTAAATCAGCCTGTACAAGTAGCTTTACCTTGAAATATCAATTGAGAAAATTCATTAAAAGATCAGTGGAGAACAATCCCACATGCTGTGTGCATTTTGCGTCAACATATTTAAACACGGGGTCTATCAAGGGCCTCGACTCGCATGTGAAAGCAAATCGACCCAATTCAGACCTCTAATTAATGTTTTTTTTTTTTTTTTTTAATGAAGAAGAAATGGCACCAATAGCACTACATAAATATTTTTAGTATGTTAATGAGATAAAGTCGAATTGAAAACAAACAAACTTCTCACACATTTCTTGAGGCTGGATTTTCATTTTTTGTTTATTCTATCTATTATCAGTTGATATCAAATAATTATAAGTAAACAAATAATACACACAAATTTACAAGAAGCATCGCACAAATATACAACCAATAATATAATAAACCAATAATATCAGTGAGGTTATCTCACACCATACTGGCAGTCGCAGTGTGAGAGTTCGATTCCTAAGACATGTAATTGGACTCTTTGTAGGCGCAGTGTACATGCAGCTCTTGTTCCCTGACCTGTTGAGGCACATCCCGCGATTTACCTCCCTCACAAAACTCTAAAAACGAAACGATGGAGGCTTTCAAAATTGAGGCTCAACCTTTAATAATATAATAAACCAAAACAAAGCAGCCATATCATAAAGTTGGTTATCTAAGACTAAGACTTTTCACGTACTATTTGCTCTACCACCTCCTTTCAGAAATAAATGACAATACTAACTTAGAGCATATTTGGGAATGATTTTGAGAATTGATTTTTTGACCGTTAGGGAAAAAATGGGGTCCATCTGTGAGAGAAGAACTCAAATATGACGGTTGGAATGGTAAAATAACGGTCAAAAAATCAATTTTTTGGATAAAAAATTCGAGCCCAAACAGGCCCTTAACGTACAAAATAATAGTATAGAAGCAAATATGGTATTTCAAGTACAGAAGCATAAATCCGGTGACATATTTAGTTCTTGTTAGGTAAAGCGCTCTCTCTCTCTCTCTCTCTTAACTACACATCTTATGGAGCCACCGCCTATAATTTTAAGTGAAAATTGCAATAGCAGTTCCTAAATTCACATTTTTGTAGACTTTATCATAATATTCAATTTGAACTAACTAAAGTTCCTAACTTTTTAGAAATATGCAACAAAGGTCCAAATGGATGATCTATTTGACCGTTAGTTGACCAAAAGTCATAGGATTGACCGAATTTTTGACCAATTATAAAAGGTTAAAATTGTAAATTTATATTTTATATAATAAAATAATTTAAATAAAATAAAATATTTAAATCAAAAGATTAAAAAATGAAAACCATATTCAAAATTTCACCCCACCACACCATTCATCCCTTAAAACCAAACCTAAGATAACATGGACTAAGCCATTGCTAGCCATTGCCACCATCTATAAGACTTCAGCTGAAGCTGAAGGAAAAACTTGCGACTGTTAAACTCATGTGGCTGAAGTTGATGAGAACTCATTTTCATCTTCATCTTCATCTTCATCTTCATCTTCATCTGGGATCGACACATTTGATGGACATCAAAAGCCTAAATTTGAGAACTCCAGAAGCCCAAATTCAAGAACGTCGGAAACCTAGAAATTCTCCAACGCAATCTCACGAACCAAAGCTTCTCAACTTGTTAATTAGTTCATATAACTTCTATCAAACATCCTATTTTCAGTTTGTGAACAATTGGCCAAAGGAATTGGCGAAAGGAAACTCCAAATTTTCGGTTTTGGTTTACAATGTGAAGGAGTTTTTTGGCTTCTATTTTTCTATGTTTTTGGCCGGCCAACGGTGGCTGTTGTTTATGGAAAGATGGATGAAGGTTTTCATTCGAGGAGTGAAGGTTTTGGTCTTGATTTCTTGAGGAGTGACGGTTTTGGCCGACGGTGGCTTAACCACTGTTGTCTTGGAAATGGTTTTATGGGAGGAAGCGTGCGGTGCATGGGGTGGGGAAGATGAAATTTTGAATAGGGGTTTCATTTTTTAATTCTTTGATTTAATTATTTTATTTTATTCAAATTGTTTTATTATATAAAATATAAATTTACTATTTTAACTTTTTAAAATTGGCAAAAATTCGATCAATCCTATGACTTTTGGTCAACTAACGGCCAAATGGATCATCCATTCGAACCTCTATTGTATATTCCTGAAAGGTTAGGAACTTTTGTTGGTACAAATTGAATGTTAAGGTAAAATCTACAAAAATGTGAAAATTTAGGGACCGCTGCTGCAATTTTCCTGAATTTCAGAAAGCATAAGATCTTTAAACAAAAACAAAAAATGAAAAAGAAAATTTACTAGCCATATTAAATGACGAATGTAGACATTTTGAATTAGAGGGCAAAATCAAACTTGCAAAAATAAATAAATAAATAAATCGAAAATCTATTCTCCCATTATGTCCTACTAAACACCTCACTTTATATATGAGCGACAACCTCAATATGGATCTCGATCTCCACTCACTCTTTGAAAGTCTTATATTTTAAGGCTACGTTTTAAAGGATAAACCCAAATCCCAAATAGGAGAACAATCATAAGCATAACAGAATTCAAAATACACAAAGTGCACACAGATGCATAGCGGCTCAATATAAGCCCTTGTCTGGAACCCCTTTTTTGGGGGGGGAAAAAAGGGATTTTTGACCACAACTCTCACATGCAATCCCAGCTGACCACAAAGGTCAAAAATTGATTGTTTTTTTGGATGAAAAAAGCTGCAGTAGATAGGGTCTAATTGTCAAAAAGGGACATCAACTTATCATTGCCAATTTTTCACCATTACGGAGAAAAACAATATAAGTGCATCTTCGAAAAGTTTTTTAAATATAAGATACTCTCTATTTTAAAAAATTAACCCTTAAAATTATGCTTCAAAAAACTTTTTAAACTAACATTTAAAATAAAGGGTAATTGGCACAAATCACCCCTATCTTTCAAGTTTATTGTTGAAAATATCCCTGCCTTTTATTTTTTGACATTTTTGCCCCTACCTATCATATTTCTTTGCACAAAAGGTCCTTTTGACGATTTTACCCTCCATTGAAATGAAACAAAAAGAAAAGAAAAGAAAAAATAAAGAATTAAATGCAATTATAGTCCCAATTTTTTTTTTTAAATTATAAATCAGTCATAATTTACTGTGAACTAAAAAATTTTAAAATTAAATAGAGAAAAGAAACTTGAATGTACAGGGAAATAATTAAGAAATGGAGAAATTTTTTTAATCATAACCAATGGAAATGAAAAATTTTGAAGATTATGTGATTTTTGTTTTAAGCCTTCCATCTACTCTTCATTGAAAAAAATTGAGATTTATGCTTACCTATTTTTGAAAATTCTCAATTTCATTGGCTATGGTTCAAAAATTTCTCCATTTCTTGATTATTTTTCTGTACATTCAAGTTTCCCTTCATTTTTTTTTGATAATTTAAAAAATTTTCAGTTCGCAATAAATTGTGACCGATTTGTCTTTTTTTTTTTTTTGAAAATTTGGGACTATTATTGCAATTAGTTCTTCATTTTTTTCTTTTCTTTTCTTTTTATTTTATTTGAAGGTAAAATTGTCAAAAACTAATGAAAATGACCTTTTGCACAAAGAAATGTAAAAGGTAGGGGCGAAAATGCTAAAAAATGAAAGGTTAGGATGTTTTCCACAATACACTTGAAAGGTATAGACGTTTTGTGCCAATTACCCAAAAATAAAACGTGAGTTTGACTCTCCAAATTTTGAAAGCCAAACCCACTTTCTATAATTAAATACATTCAAATTATTTCAATTTTCAATGAAGAAAGATAATATAATAATTTGGAAAGAAGCTTGTGAAAATAAAAGATAAAAATAAATAATAAGTATTTTTTTAGAGTACTAAAGTTAAATATTAAATAAAAAGAGCCTATTGGAGTATTTAAAGATTAAACTCTTTAAATTTATAGATGTTTTGTAAATTGCAAAATATGCTTCTCAAAAATAGAGATTTTTTTTTTTTTTTTTTTTGGAGATGCTTTAAAGGATCTCACGCCTCTCTTTTTACACACAAAAATTGCCCGCTAAAAATATCATTTGTATTGTAGGTATATTAGGACGATATGATACATATATTCATATACCCAGTTCCCAATGTATCCAATGGATTCTACATGGCCTAGAGAAGGTGAAGAGATTTATTTCAAGTTCATTGATCAACAATCCAAATTCATTAGCATTCCAGACAAAGGAGAAATAAGGAGTGTATCCTAACTCCTTGACAATCGATGATGCTAATAAATAACTTTGTTGGTATGAAGCGACGATGGATGAATTGCTTTCCGATGGAATGGTGGTGGAGGATTTGTTTTCCGATGAAGCGGTGGTGGATGGTGATTGTAAGATAAAGCGGGTTATAAACTTCTTTTAAATAAATTTAACTATTTAATAGTCAGATTGACAGTTTCAGTGAGGTGTGGGCGTAACTCGCACAGTTTTCATAGGTTGGGGATCATTCTTTACAATCAACAAAGGTTAAGGATCCTAGCTGGAATTCACATTAACTTTTATCATTCTGATTTTTTCTTTTATTTTGAAGGCAGTGGAAATTATGATAATTCATAGAAAAGCTCAACATTTATTACAAAATTATTATAATGAGAAAGATAAAAGTTACTCAAGTAGGACTTAAATTAAGTACAAACTAACTTGGCATAAGGATGAAAGAGCAAAATAAACACATATTTGGTACACTGAATGAAATAGAACTTAAATAACTCACAATTCGATGACTCTTTTTCCTTAATCACATCCTATTCAATCTACGCATTAAACAGATAACGGTTGAATCGCTCTGCTCTATCGTCGGCATTTCAAACTTGGTGCCCATAACATTTCCAAATGCTTTATTCAATCCCCAACATTTTCTTCACTTCCAAAACAAAGTCATAAACTTTATAAGGGTTTGGGAGGGCCTTGGAAACACTTTCTCTTTCATTGCACTTGTTTACCCATTTCATAAGGTTGGGGCAAATCTTTTCCAAATTGAATTTACAGAATGTTTCATATGTATAGAACCTACAAGAAAAGGGGATAAGGGCAATGTCTAATAACCCAAATTGACCACCTCCAAAATAGGGTTTATCCCCAAGTTCTTCTTCCAACAATTTCAAGCTTTTCAAGAATTCTTGTTTTGCATCCTCTTGATCTTCTCCTTTGCTTGCCCACATCCTCCGTCCAATATCGTATATCTAGGTACATGTACAAGAAAATGGATAATGAAAAGGAAACATTTTTTCAAAATTAAAATAATCAAAAAATTATGTTATTCAAGGATTAAAAGAAGATTCATAAATTTAATAAAGGAGCCTAATTTTGATCGACTTGTATTGCTTTCTTGATTATATTGCATGAATATGCATTCATCTTAACATACGTATACATTATATCTATTGTAAACTTCTAATCAACTTACATATAAATTACTACGAATCAACAAATCGTAATCTCATTATACGATTGACTCATATAATCCCGTACTTTACCATTTCCTTGTGTGAAAGTTTTTTTTTTTTAATTCATTTTTCACACTCATTTTCAATCACACATTTAAAAAAATAAAAATAAATAAATTTACTTTTCAAAGATTTTGTCCCTACACAAACACCATATATAGAAAGATCAAATGCTTTATCAACATTTAGGAATATATACACACACACACACACAGAGAGAGACACACTTCTAAATTCATCAACATGAAGGAAAATCTCACCATCTTGTCGAAGAAATCGATCCAAAACCTTGATCTTGCTCTTTCATATGGATGATGAGGAAGAATTGGAAATTTGTCCTTCCACACTTGATCAATGTATTCAAGAATGTTATGTGATTCACATATTGGCTTCCCATTATGAATGAGAACAGGAACTTTCTTGTATATTGGATTTGCTTCTAGAAGCAAAGGGCTTTTACCAAGGAATATATTTTCCTCTTCCTTGTAAAGGAATTGAATTCCCTTTTCCTCCAAGGCTATTTTCACTCTCATAACATAAGGGCTACTCCAAAACTCTAAAAGCACTACTCCTTCTTCCTCCATTTACAACACCAAATACCTCTTAATTCTCTTAATATTTCAGTTTGGTTTGGTCTTGTTTGGATTCTTTATTTATTTACTTGGCAATGTCATTGCTTACCTTAGGAGGGGGAAAAAAAAGTAGTGGCAAAGATTTTTTCATAGAATTCCCACTAAATACAGATTCAATTATATCCAATAAAATTATACTAGTCAACTGTTGATAATTTTTGTGTACCTGTTGAATCATTCTTCTAAGAAATATTATCTTCATATGACAAGTTTGTCGTGTATTTTCATTTATAAATTATCTAAATATACCCAAGGAGACATATATACAAGACAAATCATTTTCTATCCCAACCGCTCTATATAACAAACGCATGATTGTAATTTTTGATCTTAATTATGTATACACCTCATTTGAGCATCAAAGGCATCCTCCACTAAAATATTCATGAGCGAGTCTGGGTGTCTGAGCGAGCATTCTGAAGAGCCAAAATATATGCGAACTCAAAATAAGCGGATGAGCATTAATAGATCGAAACCTCATGAGCGACCTTGAATGTACAGGGCAAGCCAACATACTTCCTCAAAAGATAACGATTAAACTGGTGAATAATATGTGAACATATATCCGAATCACTTAAAAGCCAGCTAATCAATAGCTGCTATGCATCATTAGTGAAAAGGACTTAATTAACCTCATGACCTCATTGAAAACCTATAAATATTCCTATGTAGGAACCGAGAAAGGCGTGCAACTTTTAATGGCTTCCTCTCAAATAATCATTTCTTCTCTTACTCCTATTTAACATTGAATCGGAGAGTTTAGAAGGGGAAAACCATTTACACCACCAAATACCTTTTTGGTTCTCTTAATATTTCAGTGTGATCAGATCTTGTTTGGATTCTTTATTTATTTACTCAATATTGGTGTAATAATAATAATAAATTACTAGTCAAGTGGTGATAATTTTTTTATTTTTATGTTGTATTAGTTGAACCACTCTATTAAGAAAAATTTATCTTCGTATGGCAAGTTCAACGCGTATTTTCATTTAAAAATTACCTATATAAACCTTTCAAAAGAACAAATCATTTTTCTATCCCATCTTCCACTCGATTTTATTTAAATATCAAAATGATTTGTGAGTTAAAGAAGGCCGAGCTATACTACACAAGCAAAATTCGCATATTCGTGTTTACTGGTAAGATTGTAGGGTAGATAGATTCTCACAAACAATATTTAAGAAGAATGTGTTCCATTACCCAATTTTCATTATAGTCAATTTTGCATTCAACGTAAGAAATAATGCAAATATTTGTCATATCTTAACATATTATGTAGCCATAATTAGTTCGATGAACTCAGTATTAGCAAAGAAAACTTCATATTTTGCTCCATCGTATCAACTATGAACAGTGTAAAACATTTCATACTTCAACGTCTAATTTTTTATTGAGAAAAAAAGCAGACGATATTTTAACCATTTGCATCAAGCGCAAACTTCCTTCTTGCAAACTTCGACGGGCTAGACAGCAAGCTAGCCCTTCCCAGAAGCAAAAGTAGCCTGAGCCAAAAGCGACAGCGAATTCGTAGGTTCAATTCATACTGGATGCACACCAATGGGACCCTCGTTCAGGTTTTGCTCTCAAATTCAGGATACACACACATCAGCGTAGCATCTTCCGCCACCTCACCTGGAGGAAGTTTAGGGCCGCAGTTTTGGTGCCTTCAACTTCCCTGAAAATTTAATCCACCAACGTATATAAATTATTTTGAATAACGAAAGAATGGCAAAAATGGTGCAAGAGATTCATTTATCGAAAGGTCGAGCATTAGCAGTCTATTCGCTAAACATTCATGAAACAGTAGCAAAATCACAAAAGCATCCAAAGTGAGATCACGACGATCATATAGGCAATGCTATTTCAAATGCTCTGTTCGATCAGTAATCAAACCAGATTTCTAAAGAGAGAAGAAGCAAAGAATAAACAAAAAATTAAGCACAGGAAGAAACAGCATTTCTTTTCCATTTCTCTCGCACAAACAACACAGTCGAGCATTCCAAGATACAAGAAATCAATGTAATAAATTAAGGATTGACATTTTCCCTTGAGAGGTTTAATTGCAATCCACTGCATTGGGAAAATTAGAAGATACCGAAAGAAAAAATGTAAAATAGTCATAATACACTTCTTCGATGGACGACAAAAGTCCCATGTCGACAAGGAAAAACCAAACCTCATGACTTCTTAGGCCTTCCTCTTTTCCCTGATCCTTTTCCCCCTGCAGACTCTGAGCTTTTAGTTGCTGATGGGGGGCGGCCCCGTCCCCGACCACTGCCTTTCTTTTCTGTGGCTGATTTACCAGCACCTTTGCCACGTCCTCTGCCCGAAGCCTTTCCACCTCGTTTCTTTCCATGTTCTGCATGCCCATTCAGTTGTCCTTCACTGTCATCACTGTCAGATTCACTATCTTCACTGTCTTCGGACTCATCCGATGAGTCTTCCAATTTCTTCCTCTTTTTCGAGTTTTCCGATTTCTTAACAGAACCCTTTTTGTTAACTTTGTTAGGAACAGAAGTTCCACTCCCAAGTTCTTCATTCACTGCTGCATAGAGATATTAGCGTTATTATATAAGATATTCAGAAGTACTGCTGCACCTTGTCAAATAGATGCAATAAATCTTGGAGCATCTTCAACTAGTCAAGACTAAATTCTGAAATAAATACTAGAGAAGTACCTTCGCCAGCATCTTTGCCATCATATATTTCAAGCTGTCAATAAATTATAGAACCCCCCAAAAGAAAATAAAAAATCAGAGCCTCAACAAAAAATGACCACATAGAACTAAAAGTAGAAATAAAAAGAAAAGAAAATCAGATTTATGCACGTGCAGAAAGGTAACCTGTGCCAACCAGATTGCATTTGTGAAAACTAGTCAAGGAGTCTGCAGTTCAGACTAACTGTTCACAGATCACAAATTTTATTCACGCATACCAAATCTATCACATGGATGGACGCATATGACAATTCTGAAGTCTAACCAATAATAATGTAGACCGGAAATGCAAACTGATACCAATTTTTCAGTACTTCGTGAATTGGGAGGTTGAAATTTTGAGGTCAATTACATGTTGAATCCAGAAAGGTATCAGATTTTAGAGCCAAAAAGTTTACCTGTTCAAGTAGATTCGCTATATTGGTTCTATCAACCACCACCATGGAATGGGCAAATCCACAAGCAACACTAAAAGAACAAAAGGCCTAAAATAAGTTATTGATAACAAGAAGTCCCAAGATAATATAGTTTTGTAATAATACAAACCTGATAACATGCATTCCCTCTAAAATATCTACCTTTTTAGGAGCTGCAGAAGATCTACAAAGCAGAGAGACAGAAGCCAGAGGCCCAAATATAACAATAGAAGATAAAACAAGAAAATAGAAAAGCTGATGCATAAATTTACAAGGGTATGCTTATGCCTCTATATAATTAACATGCATAAATTCATATATTAAAAGCATCATGTACTTTTGTCCACTGGGTCCGTATCCTAGTTCTCCAGATTGAGCATGACCCCAGCTTATGCAAGAGGAATCAGCTCCAACGAAGTGGTGCATATTGCCAGAATCCATACAGCGTAGATGCCAGCCGCTGTAAAAGAACGTCAGCTTAGTGGTATATTCTCTTTACTTTTTCATGAAAATTTTCACATCAAAACTCATTTTCAAAGACAAAATTGTAAATCATTCTATATTCCAACGAAATTCAAATTGATAGAGGAAGAAGAACCTTAAATCCATGTGAGGCTTGGGATACATCCAATCATCCCCCGTGTTCTTCATCTTGCCCCACATGTAAAGCTGTCCTCCTCCTGGAAATATAAATTAATAGCAGTTTCAGAATTACAAGATTCAGAAGCAGCTTTATGGCACAGATGTAGTCATCATATGGCTGGCGTGAAGATATCATATGGCCGAGGTTAGGGGATGATATGAAGTATAACCATAGAGAGGAAAATTCAAGCTGAATTCTCATATCAAATTTTGCCAGCCAACTCAATGGCTTTCAAGAAATTTCCTAAAATTACCCGTTTGGGACATGGCTGACACATACACAAAGAATGTGAATGAAAAGAATTTAAGAATAGAACTCTCTGCGTCCCTACCATATGAAGCAGGGGTGGTAACGGGCCAAGCGCCCTGAGCCAATGAGCTTTTTATTATTATTATTATTATTATTATAAGAACTGAAAACCCTCCAAAAAACTTCAGGGCTCGATCGGCCTGGTCCATGAGACCACGAGCTTAGGGCCAAACTTGTATAGGCAAGGACCAAGCCGGCTCAGCTCAACCCATTGCCACCCCTATGTGCTATTGATAACTAATACACTCTTCACCTCATCATTATAATTACAAAAAAAGACGACATACAGAGTATGACATGTTGATATAATTTTCAACAAGTCTTCCACCATTTTACAAGTCACAAACAGAGTTCACTACAATAAACTTCTACAATTCAAGGATAGAAAATTATCGAATTAGACACTTCGTATAATTTAATTCCTAACAAAGAGACAGGAATTAAAAATAGATAATATGCCCTTGTTTGAGCCCCATTCTTGGGAAAAAAAAATGCATTTTTCAACAGTATTTTAATGTCATTTCAACAACACATTCTTTAATAAAATAATATTACACGTAAATTCAAAGCTTTTCCTTATTTTTTTTACCACACATTCCCATCAATACACTGTTCAGAAATTCATTTTTTCCCCCAAAATGGGATTCAAACAAGGGCTATAAATGGATGCCAACTGTCAATATTTAGATAAAGAAAAGTCCCAGCAGTACACTCTTACCTACTTTCTATAGAGTGGAATAGAACAATGGAATATGATTTTGTCATCATAATAACCAACAAATACAGGAATAGATTGATAGCCCCTTTCCCAAAAGTAACAGCGTTTTAGGAACCTTATCTATGTCCTACTCTACAAGATGAACTTGATTACATAAGCAAACATATAGCAAGGTCTGAATCATACCAGCTGTACATGCGGAATTGGCGGAACCAGCAGAAACTACTGCCTCAGGAGGCAGAATATTATGTCTTGTGAAAACATCAACACGTCGAGGAGCCCATTCATCCTTCTGTTCTCTATGTCCAAGCCTGCAATCAGTAGGTAGCTATTAAATTTCATGACAAAAAAGAAAGGAAAAGAACAAATTACTTTGCATGACAACTGAAATCTATATTAAGTACCTTCCATAGCCACCGAAGCCCCACCTAGTTATTTGTTCAGCATAAAAAATCAGAAATGCATCATAAGATTATGCTTTGTAAAGTAAATTGAGTGGACAGAAAAAATAAATATACCACATGCGAAGCAAAACTTACGTGTATACGTGACCATTCTTATCCACTGCCACTGGAGAACTCAATCAAATGGGAATTACGTATCAAACACACAAGAAACAGATAACTGATGTAAAAATAGAAGCATGGTGGCAAAGGTAGTTGCAGATGAACCTGTATGATTTGTTCCACAAGCAACTTTGACTATGGTCTCTCCAGAGAGAGAGGCTATTGCTTTAGGACGGGGTTGAGCTTCATAAGCAAGCCTCACAGAGCTATCTTTAGTATTGTACTGCCAATGAAAATAGCATAATCTAGTTACATAAAAAATATATATACATATACATATACATACATATATATTCATACATATATATGCACTAAAAAGTGAAATTTCTTGACACAAGCAATGACCACACCAACCCAGTACAGAGAATCTAAAATACAATTATTTTACTGGGCCCTACCTTGTCAGGCAAAAAGAACAAATGGCAATTAGAACTAAATCCGAAAAGGTTACAATTTTAACTTAACTTTCCTGTTTCTTGAAGGAGGATGAAAGCAGGCAATAGTTTCTTAAATTTGTAATCTATGATGCTCGGACTCGGGTGCAGGTGTCAGATACGGGTACATATCTAAGAGTCGAATTCTTCTCATTTTAAAAATTAAGATATGGGGATACGGTTAAAAAAAATCCGAATTTTGGATACCCGTATGGGGATACGTCTTATAATTTTTTTCCTAAAAAAATGATTCAATTAAAGCAAACAACAAATCATGCCATTTACAATAAATAATAAAACCTTTAGAGATAACCCCTAATTTATGGCAGTATGAATTGTTGACTTTTAAACCACTTAATTCTTTCATTTCTTTCTTCTTCTTTTTTTATTGGAAAAATACACTTAGTGAAGGGCAGCCCAACTATTTATGGAAATTCCCTCATATCATTAACTTCTTCATTGGGCTCCCCTTTCTGCAAAATTTTGCAAATGTTGCTGCAATCCTCCATAAATTTCTACATATTCCTATCAAAAGACTCAAAACAAATGGTTGTTGCCGCTACAAACGCAAGCCAGAAGCAATACTTCACCGTCCATTGTTTTCTCCCTTTTCTAGCAATGTCCGAGTTCAAAACCGAGAATCTGACACATATCCCATGTCGGTATCCATGTCATGTCGTGTCGACATGGGTACTTCGCCATTTTTTAAGATTCCGGGCATCATTGTTTGTAATACTCTATATGATAAGATTTTGTCAAGCTCATAAATTTTTCTCAAGATCTATGAAAAAATGAGCATTCAGAACTAAGCATCCCTTTACAAACATCTGAAAAGAAACATATGCATCAGCAACTTCACATCAAGATGAAACCCATCATAGCCAGAAACAAAAGCAAACAGCTTCAAGAATAACAGTCAATTTTAGAAAAGTGCAAAACTCATCATTGAATATGCTAGCTGTTAAACATGATGGCAAGGCAAAGTTTAAAAGATAACCAATTAAAAGTACAATAAACAAAGAGAAATTGCATAACCAAGCTATGCAAAAAAGCTAAACAGAGAATCAATAAAAGTCAAGCGTACTTTCCCAGTGAGAAAGACTACTGGACAATAATCTTGAGGTCATAGACATCCAATAACCATGCAACACAAACTAATTCATATAAAAAGACTCTCAGGTAAAAGTACTCTCGAATGACCATGGTGAACAAGAAATTTTAGGACCCTTGACCATACCTCATTGTCAGTACCGTGGCCAAGCTGACCATACTGTGGAAGACCAGCAGTCCTGGAAAGTGTGAAACAGATCTCAATCAGATTATTTATCATGGATTATTGAGAAAGAAAATGTCCATTAAATCAACATCTTGAATACAAATGCATTATTTAGCAGAAAACACAAGAAGACTGTAAATCGTACAATATAGAAGCTCCTTCTGTGGATGTTAACCATACTGTAAAATCACCTCCACAAGCAGTAGTTTTGACTTCAGACACGAGGCAACGAACTGGAGATGGTTCAACTTCTGCACAACATTGTCGCAGCAAACAGAGAATGGTTACAGTAAGTCGGTATTAGGGATCTGATATACGTTGTACTTTATACAATACTCGCTGCTTAATTAAATTCATTCCTCAACAAGTTCCAAAATCATACACATTGACATTCTATTCCTCTGAATTTCATGTATCCCATTGTGTCATCAAGATGATAGAATGAATTGTCTTCTCATGGTGAGACGACTCACTTTCAGGACTTACAACAACCAAGCATCTGAACCGCATCAGTGAACCCATGTACAAATACTATTACCTCGTGTCTTATGCATCCTTCCCAAAAGATTCTCAAAATCCAACTACAAAATTCTTTAATAGAAATAGATCTTTGTTCTCTTCAGATTAACAAGTTTAGCCCCAATTTTGGCTCCATTATAATGAAATTTTGAGAAAAAATGTATTCTGGAATAGTTATTTTTTGAAGAATGTGTTGTTAAAAATAAGTAAAAGTTTTAGGTCTACGTATAATATTATTTTATTGAAAAATGTGTGGTTGAAAATAAAAGAGGGAAAAATGCATTTTGGAAGGCATTAATGTTTCATTCATAACAGCCTTCAGAAACAACTCTTAGCAACCCTCTTCCAAAAAAGTGCACAGAAAAAGAGTAAGGAAAGATGACCTGAACTTATAATAGAGAATTTTAAACAGAAAAAAAGTGCTTATATTAGTTATATACTTGTAAAAGTTGTATTAAAACTTGAAATGAATCGATTAGCAGCAATTTTGAAACAAGGTCTTGACTTTCAAAAAAAAAAAAAATTGAAACTAGCTCTTAATATTAAAAAAATAAAAAATAAAAACTGTAGCAACTCGTTCTAGAAAATTCTTGTTAGTTTAATGGTCAGTCATTTTGGCATTTCAGTTTTGAAAACCACATAAACTTGATTGATGTTACCTCTTTTAAGGCAATGTGAGTCTTAACCAGGATTTCGCAAATAAGATTGTATTCAGTTCAGAACCCACCATTTTTTACAGAACCTGAACCAAGCTGCCCATGTTTATTCCAACCAAAAGCAAGAGAGAGTTCATCTTCGGTTACTACCACAGTATGACACCTTCCAGCCCCTGCTCTAATGACTTTATGCCTGAAAAATGGGGAGATAGAAGAGAATTAACAGAATATAGGATAGCACAATGCCTCATCCAGGATAATTCAGAATCTCCCTTATCTCCAATTGAATATATTTCTTCTGCGAAAGGATTATCACAGTTCACTAGAAAATATATGGACTTACAGGCCTTTCCTAAACCTCATATACCTAAAGGACACCCCAAAATGCTAAATTGCATAATTTACATGCCCATGTATGAGTGCATAGTAAATTTATAACAAAGATTGCAAATTTAGGAACTGCAAAGCAAAAATTGGGAAATCAGAAAATCACAACATCCAATTAAAAAGGAAATCAAAAGAACACAGAAACTGACTTAATCAATTCTGAAACAACAGTCGGTCTATCGCGCTGAATCGTATCTCCATGACCAAGCTGCCCCTTCTGCGCACATTACAGTTGTGAATCTGCTTAATTCATAATGCAAAAGAACACAGAAATGGAAGGACCAACATTATGATAGAAAAAATAATAGCCTTTCAGCAGAAACTTAACATGCCTCATTGCGACCCCACGTGTAGCAACGCCCTTCAACGTCCAGTGCCACGCAATGGCAAGACACTACATTTCAGATTAGCACATTACAATAAGCAAACACCCCTTCAAATTTGAAAAATTGTGCAAAGTAACTAAAACTGAAAGAAAACAAAACTAAATCAAGAACCTCCTTTGACGTCATTTCAGTACGAAGTACTACATCAAAAGGAGTAAAAAAAATAAATACTTAAAACAGAATAAAGTTATGAAACATTCTCTCACCACAACCAGAAGCCACGAAACGAATGTCGACGCCCATGAGAGGCCGGAGCCTTGTCGGTGAATTCAAATTCCATTCGGCCGGTACCTTACGGCGACCGACGGCATCCCAAGCAGTGGTCCCACAAAACAGAATCTCCCCACCCTTTATCGTCTCTTCCTCCTCCCCTACCTTCTTCTCCGGGTCCACATCCGCCATCTCAAGTCAAATCATTACAACCACTTTAAATCTCCATAAAATGGACATATAAATTCAAAGGAAAAAAAAAATAATAACAAAAATAAACTTCAAGATTCCAAGAAAATAAACCATTTACAAGGAAACCCACCTGAGTGAGGCCGCCAAAAAATCTTCTTCAATCGGAGTAGAAACAAACCCAGATAACTGAGGGGGAGGCTTTTAGCTTTTAGAACTAGAAGAACAACAAAAAGCCCTAGATTTGAGAGAACAAAGAAAACCTACTGCCCACTAGATAATTTTCCCCTCATTCTTTATTTTATTGGCAAGTGTCACGTTGTATTTGTTCCGGTGATTTTACTAAAATCTCAATTTTGTTTCGAAAAAAATAATGTTTTTTACCAGCGGTCTTTTTCAGCCTGATTTTCCATGCCTTTTTGGTTGTACCTTTGTAGGGTCAAGAGTTCCTCTCGAGTTTTAGCGTATGGTATATTTGGGGTAAGGTGCACCTTGACCTTGATGAATGAAGAATAAATACTTGTCCGATCGGAATTAAAATCAAAATTTATAATTTTTTCAGTCAGTATATCTTATTTCAAAATATTAATGCGTCCTTTTTATATAAACTCATTTATTCCTCTTTGAAAAATTTTGACTTAATAAATTTATCTCTTAAAACAAGTCCTATGAAAAGTCTTTGGAAAAAATTATAAATTGTTTATATAATTGGTCATATGATCATGCTTATAAAGATGCTTATTATACAATATCTTTAACTTAAAAGAAACTTAACATGCCTCATTGCGACCCCACGTGTAGCAACGCCCTTCAACGTCCAGTGCCACGCAATGGCAAGACACTACATTTCAGATTAGCACATTACAATAAGCAAACACCCCTTCAAATTTGAAAAATTGTGCAAAGTAACTAAAACTGAAAGAAAACAAAACTAAATCAAGAACCTCCTTTGACGTCATTTCAGTACGAAGTACTACATCAAAAGGAGTAAAAAAAATAAATACTTAAAACAGAATAAAGTTATGAAACATTCTCTCACCACAACCAGAAGCCACGAAACGAATGTCGACGCCCATGAGAGGCCGGAGCCTTGTCGGTGAATTCAAATTCCATTCGGCCGGTACCTTACGGCGACCGACGGCATCCCAAGCAGTGGTCCCACAAAACAGAATCTCCCCACCCTTTATCGTCTCTTCCTCCTCCCCTACCTTCTTCTCCGGGTCCACATCCGCCATCTCAAGTCAAATCATTACAACCACTTTAAATCTCCATAAAATGGACATATAAATTCAAAGGAAAAAAAAAATAATAACAAAAATAAACTTCAAGATTCCAAGAAAATAAACCATTTACAAGGAAACCCACCTGAGTGAGGCCGCCAAAAAATCTTCTTCAATCGGAGTAGAAACAAACCCAGATAACTGAGGGGGAGGCTTTTAGCTTTTAGAACTAGAAGAACAACAAAAAGCCCTAGATTTGAGAGAACAAAGAAAACCTACTGCCCACTAGATAATTTTCCCCTCATTCTTTATTTTATTGGCAAGTGTCACGTTGTATTTGTTCCGGTGATTTTACTAAAATCTCAATTTTGTTTCGAAAAAAATAATGTTTTTTACCAGCGGTCTTTTTCAGCCTGATTTTCCATGCCTTTTTCGTTGTACCTTTGTAGGGTCAAGAGTTCCTCTCGAGTTTTAGCGTATGGTATATTTGGGGTAAGGTGCACCTTGACCTTGATGAATGAAGAATAAACACTTGTCCGATCGGAATTAAAATCAAAATTTATAATTTTTTCAGTCAGTATATCTTATTTCAAAATATTAATGCGTCCTTTTTATATAAACTCATTTATTCTTCTTTGAAAAATTTTGACTTAATAAATTTATCTGTTAAAACAAATCCTATGAAAAGTCTTTGGAAAAAATTATAAATTGTTTATATAATTGGTCATATGATCATGCTTATAAAGATGCTTATTATACAATATCTTTAACTTAAATTTTTGATCTACGAGTAATTGATGGAAAGTCGATATAGATAAATAGACAAGTCTAGCTATCAAGAGTGGATCATAATCCGTATTTACCAACAATGGAATGGGATAGTCATTTGAAAACTAGAAAATAAAGGCATCCATCTATTATATGACCAAGGTCTAGTCGCTAGCTAGATTCGAACTGAAAGCCCAAGAGGAGGGTAAGTTGGCTTTTAAAACTTTTTCGAAGATTTATTTAAATTTACATAAGTTGAGAATGAATAAGTCGATCAAACAAAAATGTACAAGTACAAAAGCAATAAGTAAAAGGGAAGCGAGTGTACCAACGATATAATCGGGGAAGTTCGATATCAACCAATGATCGACGTCCTCTGTTACCAAACTCTCTATCACGAGTTAGGCCTTTTACTAAATTTGGTTGACTTATGGTGCAATCCAAACCCTTACAGTGCTTTCGGTGACTTATAAACAATGAGCACCGATTCTTATATAATATTGAGCTTTCTAGGACCTCAATATGACCCACAAATTTAAAAAGAAATAATTTTACAATTTGAAACTTCTCTGTTAATAAATGATATAATAAAAATTAAATACGAAGAGAGAAATAGGCTAATACTTTAATAAATATTAATGAATAAAGTTTAGGTTTTAGCAAAATGGCATACCAAGCTAAAGAGCTTCGGAAAATGGGGACCTCAGCTTCCGTCCTTAGAATTTAGCAAAATGCACAACTGTTTCGGCACATAACTTCAGCTCCTTCATCTACACCTTAGAGCCAAAGACTCAACCTGCTTTAAGGCATCAGACAACGTCCATAATAAGTGATTGTGCAATTTCTTAATATTTCGCTTTTAAGTCCCCATTATTATGTGAATATATATGTTCGGACATGCGAGACTATTTTGATCACTGTTAGCATACACACAATATTATTGTTGCTTCACTTACTAGCATATCATGACACTATTTTTACTAGCACTGGTACACGTCACAAACATATGACTTGTTATGATAAGCCTGATAGGCTCTTTGCGTGTTATATCTTGGAAAATGTAATGTCTTTATTCACCTCATATTTATGAGTATTTGGAGGGGTAGATGAACCTTTTGTTTATTTGGTATATGTGCTGTGAGTATATTGTATTGTGTTGTAAGATTGGTTTAGTCTATATTATAGAGGAGATGCTGTCGAAATTTCAACAGAATATATGACACTTCCTGAGGCATATCAGTGAAGAGAAAAGGAGCCAAGAGGGGCAATTTGAAAAAGAAAGTGACCCAAGAGACACTTCTATGAAAATCAGCTCATAGAGGCACTTCAAGCACGCCAGCCCATTAAGGCACACCAGAAAGAGCTCAAGAAGACGTCGGCATGGGAATTAGCTCTCGGGGCACTTCGATAGAAAGAGCTAGAACCCAAAGAGGACCATTTTAAATAAGAAAAACGAACAGAATGTATCACAAAGGTAGGAACAAAGAAAGTCTAACCCACACATGAATGATACAACTCAGACTTGGGGGACTATTGTTGTACCCATAAATCACTTCACATTGGGCCTTATTATTGGACCTAAATGAGGCCCATTAAAGTTGGGCAACATAAGCCCAAGAGGCAACCAAGTAAAAGCCCAAGCTTAAGCTCTTAAGAGTGTCATTAGAGGTACCTTAAAGGGCTAGCTGAGGTGCTCCCAAAAGTTGATCGAGGTGCCTCCAAGGAGCTAGCCAAGATGCCTTAAAGGGCTAACTGAGGTGCCTTCCAAGATGGTTGAAGTGACGAGGTAGTCCACCTAGGTCCCAAGAGGTCTACCAAGGCTCAGCCGAAGTGCATCCTAAACCCAACCTGAAGCTGTCTAAAGATCATCCAAAGTGGTCTAATTGAGGTACAAGAAGAGGTCTAATCGAGGTGTCTTCAAAGGTGCTGCTGAGGTCCTAAAAAGCCCAGCTACAGCACTTGCTGAGTTACCCATTGTTATGTTAATACAAGTACCTCATACTGGGCTTGGACTTAGGCCCATTAAAGCACTTGACTTGTCTCCACCTCTATAATATGAGTATTCCTTCTCATTTTCAGGTATGCCCAAACACGTTAAAACACTTTAACAACATTTCCCTCACCCGAATATTGCACTCCATACTTATATCTCTGTCCGGGCCCTGACTTGACCGTCGGAGTGCAAAAGGTTGTCAGACACTTTTCTCGATCGATGGCCGTGCCACGTGTGTAGATATGAAAAAGAGAAGATCGAGATTTCGTTGGCAACATTTTTTTGGGTCAACAATTAGTGTAACAGCTAAAAAACTCAAATGATTATTTGATGCGGACCCGATTAGCACGGTCGCTATCGAACCTACAAGATATTGACATCGGATCCAAAGAAAGCCAAGAACAAGGTTTTGGACTTAATTTACAATATTGGAACCAAGCAACCCAACAAGAGCGGCGCTGTTAAGGACCTCTTGATTACGCAACTCGATGAATTTCACCCGGAATGGTAGATCTGACTCAATAATCACGAACCAAACAACCAATACAGCCATATGGACATGCTGACCTTTTGATTACAAATAATTAATTGAAATCACACCCGTTATATTAAAAGACACAAGAACAATTAATTCTTGAAAAGTTCGATATTCAAGAAGAACAAGATAATTTGAAGCAAAAGTTTCTTGAGAGAGTTCTCCATTAATTCGGCATAATAAGTCTTGTTCACAATAATGAGAAAATAACCTATTTATACTAAATAACTTAGAATAATATTAAAGAAATAGATTCTAGAAAACCTAGAAATCTAGTAAAAAATTAGAAAATAGAGTCCTAAAATATCTAGATTACCAAAAATAAGAAATTGGACAAAAATAAAATTTTTCTAGATCACATCAGACCCTCCATCTTCAAGATGATTCGTCCTCGAATACTAATCTAAGTTATAGCCTTTACTTTCAATCAACTTAAGCACATGAAATAGCCCGTCACCTCTCAGATGCAATTTGGACCTCTTTTGACCCCCGAACTTTCCTCTTTTGAATGTAGACCTAATCACCATCTATAGATCAAAATGTGCTCGCCTCGACGCTTAATTTTGCAAGTTGGAAATGCTCTAATGAAAACTCCACTTGATGAATAATGATGCATCTTCCTTGCTTTACTTGGCCCAAACACTTGACGCAATGTCACTTCCAATGTATCCATATCGTCCTTCAGTTCATCTTCCTCAATCAATTCTCTACATATATAGTTTCTCTAGTGCCTTTGAAACTTCTTCGTCTCCTTGAAAATCACAAAGTCAATTTTTGATAGATAAGGGAAATCCAACCGATGT